TGGATGAGGGGGACGTGCTGCCCGGAGCGCTGCGGCTCATGCGGGAGCTGAGACCCGGCTGGGAACCGGCGAGGGTGAAAACCAAGGTACGACCCACCGGGGTGGGGGGGGGGGGAGAGCCCGCGCGGCCCCCCCGCGGGGATCTTCCGAAGGGGGTGCGGAGCCCAGCACGGGGGGCTATAGGGTCCTCCCGAGAGGGGGGCTGTGGGGCTGGCCCCGGGGTGCTTATAGGGCCTGCCCTGGGGTGGTATAGAGCTCGCTCTTGGGGGGCTATGAGGTCCACGTGAGGGTGACCGTAGGACCCGCTCTGGGGGGCTATAGGACCTGCCAAGGAGGGTACGACGTCCTGTCCCCCCATCCCCGGTTCTCCACTCTCAGAACGTAACTGGGGCCCGTCGGATGCGCAAAGGTGTGACACTTTGGGGACCCCTCGGGCAGTCACCCGAGCGGTGACTGTGAAGGCAGGTGTGGCCCCAGGGTCCCTTGAAGCCACCAAGGTGGGTGAAGACTGAGGGGATGCCGGGGGTGGCACCTTGCACTGCTGGTTCCCCATCGAGTCTATCCTGCAGGTGCTGCCAGACCCCTGCCTGCACCCAGTGCTGCCAGACCCCTGCCCGCAGGAGTAGCTGCTCCTGGGAACAAGTCTCGCTTGGGTTACTTGTTGGCTTGCACCTTTGCCAGGTTGCATGGGCTTGAGCGCAGGTTCGGATGGGAGCTGGGACTCAGTGCTGGGTTCCTTTTGCACGGGATGGGGCTTGGCTGTCTGGAGCTGGTAGGGCTTTGCTGCAGCGGGTGGGAGAGTGAGGGTGCCAGGTCTCGGGTGGAAAAGCGAGGCTGGTGGTGTCTGTGCCCTCAGTGGGCTCCTGGCAATGGGCACAGGGGTGTGGAGGTGGCAGAGCTGGGTGCACTTTAAACGTATACAAGTGTGTATGCATGTCCTCTGAAGGCACACACTTCCCGTGTGCCTGGAGTGTCATTAAAAATGTATTAATAGCCAAGTGTAATTAAATACAAGAAGCTGCAGGAACATACATATGAAAGGGCAGATGGCAATAGGCAGGAAGCTGGGAGTTTGAGTTCCTCAGAGCACATAGTTGTAGGGGCAGGAAATGTCTCGGGCTCTGTGCAGCACCGAGCACAGACCTCGGTGGCAATGGTTGTTTGAGAAGGACCCCGGGTCTCTGGTATCCAGGCTCTCTTCAGGCATCAGAGGGGGTCAGTGTTGAACAGCAGCTTGTGCGTGCGTGCGTGTGGTTTTAATTAAAAAAAAAAAAAAAAGCAGAAAAAAAAAACCTTGGGAGTTGTGGGGGGGAAACCTCCAGTTGCATTTCCCTTAGCTGCTATTGCAAGAGCTGTTCGGGAGGGGATTGGAGCAGTGCACTGGTCCTCAGCTGGTTCCTATTAGCGTTCCTGTTCGCTTTCCTCCGCGCACTGGAGCGGTTCCCGGTTCACACCACCTCGTTGCACGGTGTCAGTGCTCAGCTGCTTGCAGGGGCCGTACCAGGCTGTGCCGGTGACGCGGAAAAATCTCCCGGTGCTTGGGGCAGGGTGTGGAAGACGGGAAGGAAGAGTCTGGGTGCTTGGCCTCCTCCACATGCCCTCTTCTTGCTGGGGTCTTCAGCCCCCTGTGCTCCAGGTCGTGCCTGCTTTCCAGGACTCCCACTCCTCATCCGTTCAGCTCTATCCCTGGGCAGAAGCATCTCCGTACCGAGAAGGCACAGGCGGTATCGGTGAGTCAGCCAGCCACGCTGTCAGGGAAGCACGCACTCCTCCATCCCTCATCCGGCAATTAGAAGAGCAGCAGCGACGTGGAGCCAAACCCCTGCGAGGACTTTTGGCATGGCTGGACTTTTTTAGCCCAACTTTGGCAACAAGGTGCCCTATTGCAGTCCTGCCCTGGGCTGCCGGCTGCCTGTCGGGCTGGGGAGGGGTGCTGGGGGGGTGCCTGCACGAGGAGGCAGCCGACACGGCGGTGCTTCGGGGGTGCCGAGGGGTCTCGCGGCAGGAACAGCACCGGCGTGTCGGATGGAGCTGCTTCGCTTCAGCACCTTTGCACAGGGCTTGGGTCTTGCTTTGTATTTAATTGCTGCAAGGCTCCTGATGTGGAGTCACACTCGCTTTCCCCCCGCCTCCCTGCTGTCACACAACCGCAGCAGGGAAGGATTTGGGCTGGTAGCAGTGCTGTGGCCCTGCTGATAGCTGACTGCACTTTGGATCTACAAGGAGTAGCACTGGGCATCTGCCAAGCAACCATGCTTGTTCCTCAGGAGCTGGAGGAGCTGCTGCCTCCAAAGCAGGCAAGCCCCTGCGTGCGTGTGTGCAGGTTGCTGATGAACCACGTGTGAGTCTCCAAAGTTAGTGGCCTGGAATTCAGGGGGGATAAGGCTCAGTAATCCCTTTAAACCTGCTGGAAAGGGCTGATCAGGCTGTCGAGCAGCAAAACAAAGCAGCGCGAGGAGGACTTTGCAGGCGAGGCAGCGCTGAGCATCTTGACGTGCGGCTGATGTGCGTGTGGCTGATGGAGGGCACTGGCCCCAGGGTGCACCGTCTTCCGCAGGGATGGGCCGTGACGCTTTTTGCTTGCTGAATTTCTGGCCTCTGGGCCTGGCAGTACAAGGAGAGGAGAGAAATGAGGGTGGCACCGTGGTGGAAACGCAGTTTATCTGCCCTGGGAAAAGCAGCTCGCTTGCTTGAGAAGGTTCAGCCTGGCCCAGCTGCAGCCGAGCGGCAGCAGCCCACCAGGGATGTGGTGGCTGGCTCGCTGCTTGCCGTGCTCACCCCGAATCCAACACCAGCCAGCTGTGTAACGAGGGGTGTTAGCGCCGTCTAACTTCGGGTGTCTCATTCCAGTGCTTTGAGTTTCCCTTGGGAGGCTGCATGGGGAGCCCTATATATAGGCACCCTATACAGGAGCGTGAGTTGCTGAGTGGGATGTCTAAAATTAGCTGTCCCACCCCCGAGCACCGCTGCTGCCGTAGCACGTGCCCTCGCCCCCCCCCTCCCGCTCCGTCAGCATCACATCTGCTCCGGCTCCCCGAACCCAAAGGGGATAAGGAAATCGCTCTCGTGGGGAGCAGCGGGACCCCGGCACGCTCGGCCTCGGTGCCGAGCAGGAGCCGCGTGGGGCTGAGCATCCTGCCTGCGTGGGGGACAATGGGGCAGGGGTTTCCCGAGGAGCGATGGAGACCCAAACCCCTCTGTGCACCGGAGGCGACTGAAATCACTGCAGGATTGGGAGAGGAGCCCGGCGCAGGCGGCAGCGGCAGCCCCTGCATGTGCACGGGCAGGCGGCCAAGCCGGGGCGACGGGAGAACAAACCTCTCTTTCCATCTGTGAGAAGCCATCAGAGCAATGACACGAGACGTCCCCAGCAGAGACATCCCTGCCTATCAGCGACCCGGCCCCGTGGGGAGGGTCAGGGGGAGGAGACGGGGTGGTGGTGTTTGCTCCATGTTGTTTGCCGGGTGTTTGTGGGTTGTTTTATTTTTTTTTCATTTTGTGCCAAAAGATTTATGCTGATTGTTTGGGAGCGATTCCCGGGGCCGCTCGAATGCCAAGCGTGCTGGCGGCACATCTGGCCTGAGCTGTTCCTGAGCTTCCAGGTGAAAAATGGCAGGATTTCCACCCAAACCGCCGGCTTTGTGCAGCTGAAGCCTCGTGCCTGTGGCCCTGTGCAGAGCCCCAGTACGAGTGCGAGACTCGAGGCCTTGCAAACTCATGCCATCTGCTGCGGGAGCTTTCCTGGCTGCCGTGGGCACTGCTGCTTCATGCTTTCTTTTGCCCGTTGCCTGTTATTGCCTTTGCCACGTTGCTTTCTCCCTGGAGTATGCTGGTGGGAAGGGGGTTTCCCCCACCCCCAGCTGGCGCGGCAGGGATATACAGGCATCCGCTCTACCACCCTTCTCCCCCTCCAGCTCTTCACCGATGGCATCACCAACAAGCTCGTGGCCTGCTACACGGACGAGGGCATGGCGGACGCGGTGCTGGTCCGTGTCTACGGCAGGAAGACGGAGCTTTTCGTGGACCGGGAGACGGAGCTGAGGAACTTTCAGGTGCTGCGTGCCCACGGCTGTGCCCCCGACCTCTACTGCGCCTTCCAGAACGGGCTCTGCTACCAGTTCCTGCCGGGCATCGCGCTGGGGCCCGACCACGTGCGGGACCCCCACATCTTCAGGTGTGCAGGACCCCCATGTCCTTGGTTGTGTGGGTCTGGAGAGGAGCCATGGGACAGGGGAACCAGTGCTTCTCTGGGCATGAGGGGTTTGCTCCGTGTTGCCAGCGCTCCCGCTCACTCCCTTTGATCCAGACTGGTGCTCACTGATGTGCACAGACCTGGGTGGTGCTGGGTGATAAATGAGCCGAACTGCAGCCGGGTTTATCACCACGTGTTTAAAGCATCAGCTTTTGGTGAATAGAGATTTTGTGAGAGCCACGGCTTTTATCTGAACTTGCCCTGAAAAAGTGAATGCTGCTTTTGACCCAGACAAGGTCTTGAAATACTTCAGAGGTTTGTAGCTGAAGTGGAGGGGAGTTTCAGCTGTGCTGACCTCGCGTTTTTAAACATAGCTTTCAGGAAACGTCCCTCAAAGACGTCTCAAGGCTGGTTTTGAGGAGCGCTCCTCTTGGGGATGCTGCTGCACAGCCACCTCTCACCCACGCATCTGCCTTTCCTTCCAGGCTGGTGGCCCAGGAGATGGCCCGGGTACACGCCATCCACGCCAACGGGAGCCTCCCCAAGCCCATCCTCTGGCAGAAGCTGCACAAATACCTCACCCTCGTGAAGACGGAACTCAGCCCAAAGGTATCCAACCCCAGGTAAAGGCAGAGGGATCCCAAAGAGCCAGGCTCTGGCTTGGGCATCCGCTGCCCACCCATCTCTAAGTCTTCCCCGTATGGGACCGGGGGGAAGAGCCCCAGTTCCCAGGTAAATCCTCCTTGGGTGTCTTGGGTTGGTGAGCAGAGCTGGGGATGGTGTCGGGGCTGGATCTGGCCACGTGGCCACTTCTGGATCACAATCCCTCCGTGACCAAACTCACGGCCAAGCACCCAAGAGCAGGTGGGATGGAGGCATCTCCCTGCACCCATCACCTTCCTTCTGCCAGTCTGGGAGCGGTGTTAGAGCAGAGACAGCTCTGGGTTGTGTCTGTACAGCACCCAGGCAGGATCTGGTCTGAGCCAGAGACTCCCACCTGCTGTAATAATCCGCCACCTCATCCTTGCAAATCTAGCCTGCATTTTAAGCCCTCCCTAGAATAAGCTGAAGCTCAAGCCCTTCTTATGGTGGGGATCTGAGCAGCAAGGTTGAGCTGATGTTGGAGGGGATGCTAGAAACCCAGTATAGATTAAAGCAGCCAGTTCCCACTTCAAACCAGTTCATCCCATTTTTGGGAGCCTGGGTTCATGCCAGGTGAGTGCCGGGGTGTCTGGGAAGGATGCGGGCAGCCCCAAGAGGTGGTAGAGGTGAATGAACCCAAACGCAAGCGAATAATTAACCTGTTCCCTGAGCAGCAGTGGCAAGACACAGGGCTTTTCTCAGCACTCACCCTGCTGCAGGTAGACTTTACCCAAGCCTGCACCTTCAGTGCAGCCAATTAGGTAATCATTAACTGGCTTTCTTCTTGGACTTGAAACTTCTGAGGTTACTGAGAGGGTACGTGCTCTGGCAGAGTCAAAAAAATTCCCGTTGCCTGGGGGTTTGTCAGGTGCTTTGGGAGTGAGGGTTGTGGGGCTTGGTGGCTGGTTGGGTGAATTTGGGGGATGGATGCGGGTGTTAGGGGGGAGAAGGGAAGGGCTGAGGCTGCACCGTGGCGTCTGCTGGGCTCCCTGGGTACCACGCAGCACACCGGAGGATGTCCAAGTCAAACCTGGCCTCCCCACCAAAACCAGCCTCGTTAGCCCCACTTTTTGTCACTGATGAGTTCCTTTATAAAATGCACGGAGGGAAGCGGGGGGCAATGCTGCCCCTCTGCCCCTGAGGGAGGTTCCCCATGAGCAGAATTGATTCCACCCCGTCCCCTTCCCCAGCCTCCAGCAGGATGTGCCCAGCCTGGAGATGCTTGAACACGAGCTGGCCTGGATGAAGGAAACGCTTTCCCAGCTGGGGTCCCCCGTCGTGCTTTGCCACAACGACCTGCTCTGTAAGAACATCATCTACGATGGGACACAAGGTTCGTGGCAGCAGCTTCGCACGCCCGACAGAGGGGTCTGTCCCTCGCCCACCTCCCTGGGGGGCCAGCAGCTCCATCTCCAGCCCCTCTTACAGCCCCTGCCTTTGCCTCCGCAGAGCACGTTCGCTTCATAGACTACGAGTACACCGGCTACAACTACCAGGCTTTCGACATTGGAAACCACTTTAATGAGTTTGCGGGTGAGTCGGGCTCCTCTCTGTGGCACTGAAGGTCATCCCCACCCAGTTCCAGCAGCTGCCTCGGGGTCTCCCCATCCCTGGGGATGGAAGGGGCAGTTGCTTCCCCAGTCCCGGGGTGGGAAATGGGTTAGCTCCTCCTTGGGCTGTCCAGGGTTACAGTGATATGCGAGGGAGGGTCTCTGCTGGCGTTGGGCAGCGTGCTGCCGGCGGTGAGCAGCCTGGCTGTTCCTGCTGGGATGCAATGCCTGCACGAGCCCGGCTCTTAACCATGCAAGGGCTGGGTGGGTGCCTTGAACCAGCAGGTTGATCCCCGGCTTGTGCACACCTGGAGCTGCAGGGGTTTCGCTCACCCGGTCGTGCATGGGGAGAGCACCGTGGTCATGTCACTTTGCCCTGGAGAAACCCTTCCTTTCACCCTTCTGCCCCTCGGGCATCGCTGACTCTGGATCCCCTTGCAGGCGTGAAGGAGGTGGATTACCGCCTCTATCCCAGCAAGGAGACCCAGCTGCAGTGGCTGCGCTCCTACCTGCAGGCGTACAAGCAGCTCACCCAGAGGAACGAAGGAGGCATGGGGGTGGCCGTGTCCGAGGAGGAGCTGGAGGCTCTCTACGTGCAAGTGAACAAATTTTCTTTGGTGAGTGGTGGAGATGGGAAGGAGCCAGCCTCTCTCGAGGGCTGCCCGTGGGATGGGTTTTCCTCTGCTCTCGAGTGAGCCGGGGCTTCGTGCTGCAGCTCGGCTGGTGAGGATGGGGGTGCAGGTACCAGCCTGGGGATTTGGGGGCACCTGGGGCAAGAGGCTGCCCCAAAGAGCCCGGCTGCACCTCGGAGACACTGAGCCCCTGGGCAAAGTCAAAAGATAGGGCTGGCCATCCGCCAGCCCACCGACACGTGTCAAGGGGCAGCGTGTCTCTGATAGCTGTGGCCTTGGACGTCCCTTCAGAGAGGCCAGGCAAAGCCAAGCACAAGGAAATCCTCTTTGGTAAATGCCATGGGCAGGCAGAGCCCATTTTCTGGAAACTTAGGGCAAAATTTCGGCTGGTTTCCTGGCTGGAGCTGCCAGGAGGGACATCCCAGCTGCAAACGCAGAGGCTGGTACCCTAGGCACTTTGTGCGGCTGTTCAGCATCCTTGCTGCTGGCATCCCTCGCCCGGGCTGGGACCAGCCTCCGGAGCGTATAAAAATACATATGTGGGCCAGCCCCAGCTGGCTGTCACCCCGCGTCCTGTCGTCACAGCCGCGGGACTTCTGGGACCCGGCCAGGAGAGGCGCGAGTGACTCATCCCGCGGGCAGGGATGCTCCGTGCCGGTTTCTGATCCTTGTTTTTTCTGTTGCAGGCATCCCATTTCCTCTGGGCATGCTGGGGCCTAATCCAGGATAAATACTCTACCATAGACTTTAACTTCTTAAGGTGAGTCTGCCGGGGCTTGGGGGGCATTTGCTCCCAGCTCAGTTCAGTGTTAAATGACTGGAGCAAGAGGATCCCAATGGTCCCTCTGTGCCAGAGGGATCCTCTGTGGCCAGGGGACACAGGGCTGGGGCAACAAGTATCTTACGTCTGTCCCTCTCTCCTTCCTCGGCAGATATGCAAAGCTAAGGTTTAAACAGTACTTCAAGATGAAGCCAGTGGTCACAGCCCTGCAGATCTCTAAATAGCATCTCCAGCCTGTGAGTCTCCGAGCTATTTTGTCCTTGCTGCGTCCACAGCCCTCGCATCCCCCTCGCCCCTTCCCCACCCCAGCCGGGGGCGAGGGCAGGTCCTGATGGTGGGAAGGGGGAGGAGAGGAGCTCTGACCCGGCCACCGATTAAAGGAGACCCTGGACATACCTGAGACTGGACCGTGAGATGCTAGAGAGGACCAGGGCCTCGGAGAGGCCCCTGCCTACCCAAGGAAGCCTTACCATCGCCTTAACGCCGAGCCCCAGCTCGGACCCGGTGCCCGGCAGGTCCGTGCTTTGCTGGCACTACTGCTGCTTGGCCTGGCACCTGGTTTGCTCCCTCTGTGCTGTCCCTGAGGGGGGAAACAGGTTGCCCCCATCTGCTCAGGAGCCCCCAGAGCTGCCCAGTTGCTTTAGCTGCCCAACGCACACGCTGTGACCATTGCCTTCACTGCTCCTTCTGTCCCCTCTTGCCCTGCCTGTTTGGTGCCACTTGGGCTCTCACCCCCAAACCAGCACCTTCTTTGGGTCCATATTGATCCTGGGCTTGGGGCTGTCTCTGAGCATGGGACCTTTTTTCCACGTGTGGTGGGTGCTGCTGCGCTCTGGCTTGGATAGTGCAAAGTAGCAAGGGGCAGCAACAGCCATGAGCCACGTGGGCTTGGGACCAGGAGGCTTTTGCTGGCAGGCGCTGGGTGCCTGCAACCCCTGGGCTGTGCTCAGCCCGCAGCTGGCTCTGCTTTTCCCCACGGCCATGGTCTCCTAGATTCCCGTTTGCTCCCTGCTCCCATCGTGGCTTCCCTCATAGCATCCTGTGCTGCCGGAGCAAGGAGCTTCCAGCTCTGCCTTCCCCATCACCCCCAGGGCCGGGGGGGTTGGTCATGCCCCTTATGTGGGCACCATCCCTGTGTTCTCCTCTTGGCTCTGTCCTTGCCTGGCACTCCCTGGCAGGAGGTTGAACGGAGCCGACCTGCTCCATGAGCCGCACACAGCTTCATCCCCTGTCACCACTCAGCTGCTCCCCCACCACAGGCTCTGCGAGGGTGATCCTGGCCTGCTGAGCACTGTCCAGCTCGTGACAGTGGTTGTGCATCAGCTGGGAGGTGGAATCAGACCCCTCTGCTCCTACCTTGGCTGGTCAGCAAAGTGGTATGGGGACAAGGTGGCTGTCCCCTCCGCAAGGGCACAGGAACCTGCCCCAGCAAGAAGTGGGACTGTTGTTGCGTCTGGTGTTTGTTTTGGTGCAAAATAAAAGCTGCTGGTAGCTGGAAAATAGGGGATGGCGGATCTGTGGGGACTGGTGCAGGACTTGTGCCGGAGCAGGGACGGCATCCCTGGAGCCTGGGGGTGCATCCAGCCCTTCTCCTGCAGCTGGAGGTGTCCCCTCGCAGGGTGGGTTGACGATGTCCCTTCATGTCCCCAACCTCGCTTTGGGTGCTGCAGGGGAGCAGCAGCTGTGCAGCACGGGAGGGTGTTTGCATGCAGTGCTCGCTGCTTCTTCCCCGTCGGCAGCAACAACTGCTGGGGCTTGTCCTTGTCCCAGAGCGATGCCCTGTGGTTTAAAACAGCCTTCTGTAGAGTTGATCCCCCATCTTCATCGCGGGTGCCCCAGCAGCACCCCGAGGCCCTGCTGGGCTCTGGCAAGGGCAGGCTGGACTACTTGGCTGCAGCAGGCACTGGGCAGAGGAGGCTGAACCCCAAACCTGCTGCCATGTGGGGTGAGACCTTGAGAAAACACAGGTGAGACGTGGGAAGGAGAGGGGAGCAGCTCGGGACCCACCACGGATGGACAGGGCAGGAGAAAGAGCTGAGAAACAGCACACGTGAGAACATGGCAGGGAGCAAAAGCCTTAGGAGGGGGCTGTGCTGGAAGAAGGGGGGGGAAACAAGCACTCCCCATCTATGCTCTGACTGCCTGGGGTGAGAGCTCCCCCTCCAACCCTCGGCTCTCCCCAGCCCCAAGCCGGTAAAGTCCAGACCCAGATCTCTGCTCCAAAAAGTCATTTTTATTGTGCCAAGGGGTGGGGGGGACAATTGTAAACAAGTATGTGAAATATACAGGTTAAGTTACTCATTGTCTTATTAACAAAATAAAGCTCTATCTATATTTACAGTTTTTAAAAAAAAAAAAAAAAAAGAGGGGAAGAGCGGCATCTTTGTCGGGCACATCTGCTTCCAGCCCCCTCTGCAGCACAGCCCATCCCACCCTGGGAGCCGGCACCCCTTCCCCAGGGACCCCAACCCCAGCCAGAGCAGCACAGGGGACGGGAATAAATAAAGCACTGACGAAGGGCAAGAGAGGAGAGAGGTGTTTGCTGGGTGGGCGAGGAGGCAAGATGCTCCCTTGGATAAAGAATCCTGACGGCAGCCCCGTGGGGTGCGGGGGAGCAGCACCGGGGCCCCGATGCTGCAGAGCTGCTGCTCCGGACCCCCCACCCTGGAACCGAAGACATGGGTCCGCTGCAAAGCCCCCATTGCAGGGCTCGTCCCCGCTGCTGCAATCTGGAGCCCGGGCAGCCACAGCTCCTTCTGCACCCCCAGCAAATGTCCCCACTGTGCCAGACTGCAGGCCAGGCTGCGGCTGCGGCCGGAGCAGCGGTGCCCGTTTCTGGCTGTAGCCACAGGGCGGTGCACGGACTCTGTGCACAGCCGGACACCGTGCACGCACAGCCGGACACACAGCCATGCTGCATCCCAAATAACCCTGGGCCAGGCTCTGACCAAAGCAAGGTTGTTGGTTTTTTATCAATATTTTTTTTTTTTTTTTTAAATTGCTGTTATTTTTCTCTCCCTCTCTGGTTTTCACGATGCAGATCGCAGGTGGAGCCTACAGCCTGCAGAGTTGGGGTGCAGGAGGGAGAGGTCCCTGGGGACGGACGGGGCACGTACCCACCGCAGCCAGGGCTTGTGCCCGACAGTGCCTGGGGCAGGGGCTGGCGGAGGGCCAGGGTAACGGCACAGCCAGAGAACAGACACCCGCTTTATTTACAAAGTGGGCCAGAGCTGTCAGGATCACAAAGGGCTCCTCGGAGCCCTTGGCTGGTACTCGGGGCAGGCGAGAGCTAAAAATGGCTCCATGGGAATTTGCTGGCAGGCTTTAAAGACCGAGTGGGAAATGCAGCGGGGAGGTCAGACGGGGCTGAGCGAGGGACAAGCGTGTCCCCATCCCGTGACCCTAGCAGCAGTGGCTGGCGGCTGCAGGTGAGGCTTTCTGCAAGGGACCCATGGGTGCTGGAGGGCTGGGAGATGCTCTGGAGGTTTTCCCGCATCCCGATACCCTCAGGTACCTCCTGGGGGGGCTGCAGGTGGGTGACAGCTCAGCAGCCGTGGCACCCGTATCCCTGGGCTAGGTGGCCTCAGCTCCCCATGCCCCTGCCACTAGAACAAGGCTGAACCAGCCCTCGCCACCTTGCCCAGAGGGGTCAGCACATCCCAGTCATGGCCCCATACAGTGCACACCACTGCTCATCACCCCTCATGGGAAGCCCCCCCCCAAAATGCTGGGATGCCCACCTTCCTGGGACCCATTTGCAGGCAGGCAGCAGTGACTCCTCCGTGCCGGGGTAGGAGCTCTCCTCTGCTCCCAGCACAGCCCTTCAGCTGAGTCCCATCCCATCAGGGGATGCTGTGACCTCCTTTTTGGTG